AACACACATCACCAAATAAACCTCTGTCTCGCTCAATATTCATCCCAATTGATAATGGATTAAAAATAATTGCTAACTGACACAGCAGTACTCCATGCACAGTGCCTCACTGTACGTCGACCCCAAGTGAACCTGACCCCTCCCCTCTCCTTTCCAGTTAGGGGGTGTGATAGTGGGAGGGGGAGGGGGGGGTCGCCCCTGCCCCTGACCAGCTGTTCCTCCGTTCTGTGTTGGAATTATCTCAGGAGACCCCCCCAGCTCCTCCATTAGTGTTGTCAATTCGTTCCGCCGACTGGAATTACCACAGAAACCAGCTCCTGAACCGCAAACATCTGTCCCCCCCAGATCGAGTTTCACCACGGCGGCGGGGGCCGGGGGGCTGGGGAATCCCTCTCCCAGCCCGTCCACAGCCTCTCTCTCTCTCTCTCTCTCTCTGCCTCCGTCGGCCGGCCGGTCTCGTCTCTCGCTCGGCAGCGCCCTCGTTCACGACCCCCCCCAGCTGCCCCCCGGACCCGGAGCCCTGTCCGCGGCTGGATCAGCTCTCACGGGCCAGGACCGCCGACGCTCTGTGGGCGCGCGAGGGGGCCGTGGCGGCTCTGTGTAAGAGCCCACGGGGGAGTCGTTCACCCGTCGGGAGAGCGTGGGCCCGGGGAGATCCAGGGGCACCCAGTCTGGGGGCCGACACAACGCTCCCCACCACGACGGCTGGGCACACCCCTTCACCCCTCCACTCCCAGAGCCCTCTGCGTGCCCACACGGACGCAGACCTTTCCCTGGGTGTCCCGAGAGCTCTTCCGAGCGGCAGGGGGAACCCTCCAGGGATGCTTCAGGAATCAACTGGAAAAAGGCCACAAGAACAAGGCTCTGGCGACAGTCAGGTGAGCTGTCCAGCGGACAACTGGGCTGGACCAAAATCCAGAAGCCCCCCCCAGGAACCTCCGTCATTCCCTGAACAGGGAGATCACACAGCCAGAAGTGAAAAGGACACGCTTTGCTTTCTAATGTTCATTCCAATCTGTGTTCGGAATTGTGATCCAAACCCGGATGGCTCATGCAGTAGGCAGCTGGAAAACTCCCAGGCTGGCCGGCAGTACCAGAGAGTGCCTGAGCCCCAAGGCCACCAGGTCCAGGCGGCCCACTCCGGTGTCCGGCGTCGATATCCCGACAGATATCCCCCCCCCCCCAATCGATAACACTCCCAGGGATCAGTGCGGCATCGTCACTCCCTGCCACGAACTCCCAGTCTGACCGCGAGTGGGAAAACCCTGAACGAGAATCCTAGAGCAATGCGTGCAAACATCACAGCACGGTGTTCTTTAAAAGAACTTTAAAAGGCCGGCTTTTAGTAAATGATTTTATTTATAAGAGGCGACGATGTTTTTTTCTTCCACTAGTGCGAAAAAACCTTAGAAAGACCCTGATGTGGGGCTGGACAAACCGCCTCCGTGCTCCGCGGTCCCCTGTACGCGTTTATCACCGGCAGCCGAAACCTGCAAAGCGCTCTGTCGCCGAGTGGAGGGAAAGGCGCTATACCAAGCGAAACTGATCGACTGGTTTGGGGTTTCCATGCTAGTGGAGGAAGGCAGGGGGGTCACGTGAAATTAAGAATACTCCTCTGTGTGAGCCAGCGTGCCTGCAACACAATCTGATTAATGACCTTTTCCAGGCTCTCCGGCCCGCGGTGCTCACACGCCACACAGTAATTAAGGTCAGGCACCG